GCGCCGCCCGGCCCAGCACTTCCTCAATCCTGAGCCGGGAGGAGCGGGCGGCGGCGCGCAGAGCGGAGCGCAGGGCAGGGCCCCGAGGGTCGCCGCCCCGAGCGGACGCCCAGGATCCCCAGCCATAGTACTTCGAGATGCTGTCCTGGCTACTTTTCTCTCGTTGCTGACAATGAGAGACCCAACGTTAAGGAAGGAAAGGTTTATTGAGCTCACAGTTTGTGGAGGTTTCAGTCCGTAATCAGCTGGCTCCAAGGCAGGGTGGCATGGCAGAGGGCAACACTTCAAGGCGGCAGAAGACAGCAAAAGTAGCAAGAACCGAGGGGGGAGGCAAGCCCCTTTCCCTCCCTACAGCGTAAACAAGTTAACCACTCCCCCGGGAGCGGGGTGAGGGGCTGGTGAAGCACTCACTCTATCTCCCCGTGCCCTCCTCTTGCACAGGCTGGAGACCACCCCCAGCCCCCTGCTGGGTTACTTAGTTAAACTTCTAAACTTCTCAGGTTGAGAAAAAGTATCGGCCATTACAGATGCAAGTTCACTCCTCCTGTCCCAAACGATGCCAGCCCCTCTCACCTCTGGAAACTCCAGGATCTTCCAGCCCTCGTGGGCCCTCCGGGTTTGGTGACCTGCTCTCTCAGGGGCAGGCACAGCGATGAGATTTCACAGCAGCTTTCACACTCTGCTGTCCTAGAGCAATGCTGACAGGTTTGTGCTCAGCTCTTTAGAGAGCAGTACAGAAATATACCTATTATGAAAGTTAATATTTTACAAACTGTACCTCTTCCATCACACGAAGTTACTAATTTGATTACAGATTATGCAAAGATATTGCTATCTGGAAAATCATATATATATATATATTTTTTTTTCTTTTATATTTTATTTTATTTTTGAGACCTAACGTGGAACTCTCTTGTTCAGGCTGCGTTCCAACTCGTGGGCTCAAGCGATCCTTCTGCCTCAGCCTGGCAGAGGGCAGGGACTGAGGCACCGCCACTGTCCTGGACTTGGCGAAAGATTTTTAACTGCCTACTGGGCGGAGTGATAAACCAAATGTGGCAGAATGTGGGAATTTATCACCTTTCAACCTGTCGCAAGTACGTGGGTCACACCACTGAAGCTAAAAGCAACACGGTCCATAGACATCCGCGCCCATGCGGCCCCCGTGCTCACCCAGGAAAGAGAATTCTGTTCAGAAAAAGATTTTGCCTGGCAGGACCAGCACCCTAGGCTTCTCTGGCGAAATGTCCCCTCTCAAACCCTCCCAGGACTTGGCGCAAGGCATCGTCATACCCTCATGGCCATTTCACAAACTCCGTGCGGCTGCAGGGCCCTAAAACGACCCAGGACACGTGAGGCCTGGGTGCTTGGAACCTCTGTTTGGGTCCTTAGGAGACAACTGGACACCTGGCAGCTCTTCTGTGGTCCCAGGAGGCTGCTTCTCTGCCTCTGCCGCCACCCATGGTGGGCACAGCTGTGCAATCCTGCCCTACTGCTGAGGTTCTCACGGCAGTTTGCAAGGGCAGCGATCTGAGCGCCACCGAAAAGTCCCTAATAATTTGCAGGGCGTGGCGTCTGCAGGGGTGAGCGAGCCCCGCCACCGCAGTGGAGCCTCGAGGGCGCCATCCCGCCATCTAGCGCCACCGGGAGGAAGCACACGCGGGGTGCCGGGCTCCGCCGCAGGGGTCAAGGGAAGCCAGTGCAGAGGGGGGTCGCTCCACTTCCTTTACTTAAAGGAGCTTGGGAGTTGGCTAGGAAATGTGCCCAGTGTAGAAACCATCTGGAACATTCGACACACGAATGACCTGTTTTGAGCTGTCTGTATCCCGGCATTTAGCTCTATCCATTAGCTGTGTGCTACAGGCACATAGAAGGTTGTTGCAGGGCAGTTAAGATTCCTGTCCACTTCTCTTTCACCTCTGCTGACCCAAGGTCTACTTCTTTTGGCCCACATTCTCCTCAGGTTTTCTGCAACCTCGGGTCGGAATGATTCCTGTGTGGGGACAGTGGGAAGCCATGTCCCTCCCTGAGCTAACCGTTCTGCCCTCAGTGGGCACAGTGGAAGTGTGTAACTTTGGGTTGTTTTTCTTCAGCTGGGTGCTCAGTTTCCTTGCTATTCCTCCCTGGAAAAAATTTTAATACCCCTCACTATCCATGGTCAAGCACAAGTCACCAGCATGGCCTGGAGCAAGGAGTAAAGCCACAAGAAAGGTCTCATCCACCAACAGAAGCTAGGCCCTCCCTGAGGCCCAGCTGTAGAGAACATGCCTGCCTTATAGGCACATGAGTGTGCGTGTGTGCACACACCCACCCACACACACGTACCCACATTGTGTGTGTTGTCCTCAGAATGGTTCCCTTCAGGAAGTCATGTTCTGGTAAACCAAATAAAGTGAAATGTCATTTTCCCATAATTTTTCTAGTCACATTTGGATTGAGAAATCAGATGGTCCCAAATATATCAATACACGTGTATCTCTATACTTTTTTTTTGTTCATTTGTTTGTTTGTTTTTCTTCCGGTACCAGGAATCGAACTCATGACCTTGTGGTTGCCAGGCAGGCACTTTGCCACTGAGCTAAATCCCCAGCCCCTTCAATACACGTGTAAATGCATATTTTGATCCAGCCTCAGCACCAACTCCCAACTTGGTGACTACGCCATCTAAGTTAAGTGCAAACACCAAGATTGCCACAGAGACACTTGTGACACTTGGGCTCATGGCTGGGGGATGCAGGGTCTTCCCTTAATTTCCATTTTGTGTATTCAAATTCTTGTCACTTTAAAGAGTCTTGGGCAGCTCAGATGACATCTTAAACTCAGGCCATAAGATATATGACCTCTGAGGCTGTCCTCTGCCTTGTCAAACCCAAAAGCCACCAAAATGGGTTTTACACTAGGACAAAGGACTTGGTGTGATTGGTCAAAGAAATATAATTTGATTTATTTATCTATACTGCTTTATTACAAACCATATCGTCCAGCAGGTCTCAGAAAGAGAAAATCTTGCTGTGGAATTGAAATGGGTTTGATTAATGAAAAAAATCCAACGCAAAAGCATTTCTCAAATATCCAATTTTATTTTATCGCTGTTGAACACAATCTGCAGTTAGGATCAGAATGCTGAGTCTGATATTTTTTAAAACCATACCACAGGGATAAACCTTAAAAGAAGTGAAATCTAACATTATATAGATTTTCATTTCTAAATACATTATATTACAGAAGGTTAAATATACCACCTCTATGTACTTACAGCTATAAAAGACACATTAACTCTACCAATTATAAATAATGTAGCATTTCATATTAAAGAATTATTGTACAGTGAAAGGATAGAAACCCTCTCAGGTACTACAATGAAGGTTAGTGTCTATACTTCCTTGGGATACTGAAGTTCAGTGTATGAAATCAAATTCTGTTTAACAAGTTATTGGTAGTGTAAGTAGTGAGTGTTAACTGGTGGTGAAAAGAAGGTGAATCACCTGTTTCATATCTGAGAAGGATGATACCCTAATTCACACACACTTTCCTTTATACAGACATGGGTTCTGACATAGACCTTCATTTATTATTATCTCTCTAACTTCATCTTCAAACTTAAGCACCATTTTTCCAGTTAGGAAAGTATGGGTTTAGTAAGGGTAAAAGTACCTGGATAACACAATTTAAGTTTGGTTTTGTTTTTTAAAGCTATGTGGGAATAATTTCAGTTTTCCAAGTTAAAACATGGCATTGCACAAAATTTTGGGTACTCAAAGGAGGAAAAGAATAATTTCTAACCCGTTGGTGAAATACTCAGGTCATTTGGGTATAGATCCAGTTCCTCCATGGAGTCTGGAAGTTATTTGTTAACTAACCAGAAATCAATACCAAAGTAGGGCTTTAAAAAAGTGGGTGAATTATAATAGCCATCTTTCTAGATGTGTGCATTTGACTAATCTGAATGGAAAATGGAACTGGAGAAAAGGAAAGGTACAGAGGCTTATTGTGAACCATTATAGAATACGGTAAAATACATAATTTGAAAAAGTGAATTATGGTTCTGATTTTCCCAGTGCAGCACTTAGTTATCTTGGAATTTGCTCTGTTCTTGTTCTACCAGAACAATAGGTTGTCAGCAGCTATGGTGATGCTAACGATGTCTCCTGACTTAGAAACTATCTTCGTTAAGGTGTGTGAACACAGTTTTAGAGTAAACTCATTGAGATAGCCATTTGGTCATAGTCCAAAGGCAGTACTGGTTTCAAAGTGAACCCCATGGTCAATGTCAACATGTCCTCCTCCAAAATCCACAGCCGTGTGTGTCCATGGCCTCTGACACCCTTGCCTGATATGTGCTCCCCCAAACCTCTCCCTGTCACAGCCTCAAAATCCTTTTCTTTCTTTTTAATTTAGTGCTAATCTTTTCCTTTGGAATGATCCTACCCCTGCCTCAGAAGAAGGAGGAGCTGTGTGCACAGGTGACCACGAGGGGACCACAGGTGCAGGGCTTGTGGGGCACGCAGGGAGCACGTCCCAAAGTCTCACTGGAGTTGGATTCAGCAGAGCGTCTTGAAGCCACTGCTGGACACTTAAATACCACTTCTTGTTAACAGAGCCCTGAGTATCTTCACTGTCTCTCACACCAGGTCTAAAGGCAAAATCAGAAATGGCCAATGGCTCCCTCCCAGGTGGAACTGCAGTTTCACACGCAACACATGAGCATCCAGAGTTAGGTCAATAAAACAGGAGTGTGAGACGAAAATAAAAACCATTCAGCTCTAGTAGACTGAAAGTATCGGGAAGAGAGTGTCCCAGGAAGGTCAGTACTGTAGTTATTCCCTTCAGCAGGTTTGATCTGCCAAGAGGGCTGTCCGGTGGGGCGGAGGAGCCCACTTTCCTTCATGGGTTCTTGTCCTCGAGCTTGATGGTGACAGTTTTCACTTCTGTGTATTCAGCCAGGGCATATTCACCTCTGTGAGGACAGAGAAGAGGACAGTTGGAACTGACGTGCCAACTTGCAGCTCTGGGGAAACAGTTCTGGTGCCTGATTACTCTTTGGGGTTTGGAGTTTATGGAAAGGGGTAAAATGTGACGCCCTGCTAGAGGAATAGCCAGAATTGTGATGTCATTAATAATTTTATGTAAATGAAAGGTAAGTTTAAATATCAAGTTTTTGGCGAGTGATGATTTTGAAATAGGCTAAGAGCCTCAGCTCCAAGCCTGATAAAAATGCAGAGGGCCAGGCCTTACCCAGGCCTACTGTGGCACCCACTTCCCCTGAAAGCATCCACGATCCACTGTCCTGAACCTGTGAATTAAGGCTGTGGATGGAATTCAAGTGACTCATCAGTTGGCTTTAAAATAGCGAGATTATCCTGGATTCCCAGTATTCTTAAAAGTAGAAGAAAGCAGAAGGGTTTGAATAAAACAAGATTCCAGAGAGATGCCATAGTGCTGGCCATGCAGAAGGAGAAAGGCCACCAGCCAGAATGAGCTGCAGAAGTCAGGAAGAACCCTCTCCCCAACCCCACAGCAGAATGTAACCCTGCCGACAGCCTCCGTCTTAGTTCAGTGAGACCTTGGTCAGATTTTTATCCTATAGAGCTATAATATATGCATTTTGTGTAGGCCACTAATTTTGTGGTAATTTGTTTGGCACAACAGAAAGCTAATATGCTCAAGGGATCAGAAATTTCAAGGTGATTTTGATGCCTGTTCAAGTTGGAGACACCTTTAGCTTAGCACTATGTAGGTGAGTCAAAGTCATCGCCATCCCTGAGCCATAGTTCAGACACGGGAAAAGCATCACCTCCTTGCAGTTCTACAGTTAGAGACAATTTGTATGGGACAACTGCCATGTGCTAAGCAAAAAGTGAATGGTGGACACTAATATCCTTATTTTATTAATAATGTGTCACTGAGGTATTTAGGTGTTTTCCTAAAACATATTGCTTAAGAGCCCATGACAATAGTGGCAGACTTATTATGTAATCTTTTCTAGACATAACACAAACCAGCAAAGCCGTAAGCAGAATACTAAATTCAACTTTTGTGGAACAGATAATCCATTTTTAAAAAGCTCCAAGAGACAAGCTAAAAATAATTTATAACGCTGTGTGATAAAGAGTGCTGTTTCCCTCAATGTACAAAGACTTCTTAAAACCAACAGGGAGAACACAAGCAACCAGATGGAAAATTAACAAAGGTCATAGTCAGTTTGCAGAAAAAAGAAATACAAATTCCAGTAAGTGCAAAGAAGGTACTCAGTCTCTCACAATTAAAGATACGGAAACCAAAACAGTAGTGAAACCAAACACATTTTTCATGTGGCATATTATTCAATTCTAGAAATTCATTCATAAAGATTTCTGCAAGGAAAGTATATCAGCATGATTTTTAATAGCAAAAACTGCTTGAAAGTAACAAGCCTGAATTATAAGAGATCACCACTAAAAAGAAAAAGATATCCAAAACCCACTCTTAAGAGAAAAACTGTTTTCATTTAATCAAAACACAGAAAAGAACACACTTATCCACACCTATTGCATGCAGAGAAAATGCAAAGAGGCTTTAAAAGGAAATATATAATGGTACATTATAAAAAGTCAAAGTTGTTAATGATCAGCTTAATAAAACTAGGAAACAGAAGAATACTGAAACCCTGTTGAATTAGTACATAACTAATAAGTCCAGAATTAAAATCACTCTTGCAAGAGTAACTCCAGGGTTACCCTTCTTTCTATTTCCACAGTTGCCTTAGTTCAAATCCTCACTGTTCTCATGCAACCCACTGCAGCATCTCCTAACTGGGTTCTTGTGCAGTCTCATCCCCCTTGACAGTGAAAGCCAACTATGCGCCCAGCCTTTTTCCCAATAAATTTTGTCAAAACATTAGGGGAGCTGGGCGTGGTGGCACGTGCCTGTAATCCTAGCATGCTGGGAACATGAGACAGGAGCATCACAAATTTAAGTCCAGCCTCGGCAACTCAGTAAGACTCTGTCTCAGAAACAAACAAAAAAAAACCAAATGTACTCTGGAGACGTAGCTCAGTGCAAAAGCCCTCAGTTCTAACCCCAGTACTGGGAGAAAAAAAGAATATGGAGGAGACAGGGACCGGTAACTGTATGCTATATGTTCAAAGCCTAATCACGCCTACAGCATCAAAGACGATCAATAAATATTTGCCACTTGAATGAATGAATGAATACTGGTTACCTCTAACAAATGGGACTGCGGGTCAGAGGGAGGCCTTGACTTTCCACATGCTCCTACTGTGTGGATATATTGGTTACTGTCTTTTATTACAAAGCAAAACAAAGAACTAGGAAGAAAGGTGCCCAGGAGGAAGAGAGGTTGGGTCCAGAAACAAGTCCCACAAAGGCCATGGGTGGGTGCCCTGGGGCGGGGAAATCCATGGAATCCACCTAGCGGTGCTCCGGCAGCCCAAGGGGGAACTTCTTACAACAGAAGACGGCAATTGGAGACAACAGAAAATGGAAATTGGTTTTTAAGGCAGTTTCCTTATGAATTATTTTTAAATGCTTTATAAAATGTCTTGGGAAAATATATGCCAAAGGTCCAAGAAGGAAAACAAAAAGACATTTCAAAAAGTCCCCTGGTGGCTAACCATCAGGATAAAATATGGACTGTGTACAGTGGATTCTCACCCAGCCCCGCTCTGAGCCAGGCAAGGGGATGCTGAGAGCTGCAGGCACTGCTGGGGTGGTGGGAAGGGAGGCTGGGGTGAGGAAAGCCACACAGCGAGTCAGCAGTTGGGAGCCTGTGCAAAGCAGGACTCAGGAGGACCCCACATGGCTTCCCGCAGCTTCTGCATCCCAGACTTTTGCTTTGAGACTGGGTATCCCGCTGCCGTGCCTGGCCTCTGGGATAAGGACTGTGTGGTTCTGGATTCCCCAGCCCTGATGACCTCACTGACCAAAGGCAGCGGCTCAGAGGAAACGAATGACCACACAGGGCCTGGTGGCTTCATTCTACTACACAGCCAAGTGAGGTAGAAATATTATAGATAGTCAGACAGTGCTGAGCCCTCAAGGGAGTTAAGACAAAAGATGAAAACCCATCAGAGACTCATCAGTTGGAAGCCAGGCCTCAAGATAACAATAAAAGAACCAGACATCCATCCTCCTCAAGGGGTGAGATAAGTGACAACACCTGGTCTAGATAGGCTCCCCTCACTCCAGTGGGCAACCAAGACGTCAGACCCATCACCCACTTGAGAAGGTCTTTGATCTTTCCACGCCTGCTCACTGTATGACTTGCTCCCCTGTGGGATAAATATTACCTAAGCAGCTATGATCACAGCTCTAAGCCACATTGTTCCCACATGCTCTATAAAATTTCCCTATAGAGTGGGATCCCTAGGCTACCCATTTGGGACTCCTCCTGTTCCTCTGACAGGAGCTTTCTATCCTCTTAATAAATATCTTCCTATTCTTAACCTCCGTTGTTCCTAGAATTCATTCCTCAATTTTTAGAGAACATGAAGTCGGTGTATCAGACATCTAACAGGTTGGGAGTTATAATATTTCCCTTATATCAGTCATATTTGGGGATTCTGATATTACCCCTGTAACAATTCTAGGTGACTTACAAAAGTGGCCTCTGTCCAGCAAGGCCCTGTGCTGTTGTGACCCTGTGCCAGTGGTCACTGCTAGCTGTCAGTCACCAGCTCCCTAGGCTGTTTTCTCATTGGAGAGTAGCAGTCTTTCCTCAAGAGCTGTCACAAGGACCTGAATTAACATGTGGAGCCTCTCAGAGCGCTTGCTGGCGTCTGGGTTGAGTAAATGCTGTAGAAGGATCCTGGAGGGCAGGCAGGAGTCTAAGAGGTAATGGAGGGCTGGGGATGTAGCTCAGTGGCACAAGTGCCTGCCTGGCAAGCGCAATGTCCTGAGTTCGATTCCTGGTACAAAAAAAGAGGTAACGGAGCTGAGGCTCAGAGGATGCAAACACAAATACAAAGAGGTCACCAGGGAGAGGAAAGAGGCTTTTGCAAAGAATCTTCAAGGCGGTGCATTTACCGAAGTTCCTGGAAAGGGAAATCAGCCCCATGAGTGAAGAGAAGACCAAGGGACACCAGTCACTCTGCTGTGCAGAGGGCTCTGGGGCGCCTGCTGTGAGTCAGGGATGGACTAGAAAGAGGGGTGCAGGGGTGGGTGCAGATTGAACCATGCAGACTGGCCAAGAGCAACTGCTCAGGGGCGGAAGCTACCCCTATTCCCTTACAACATCTTTAAGAATCTGGCAGTGGAGCCACCCGAAGTTCCCACCGAGGCCCACGCTGAGGGAAAGTGTTTAAGTCTGTTCCCACTAGAAGATGTGCAGATGAGTACAAGTTTGTATGTACATGACACGTACTGTCTACAGCAAAGGAAGAACGTGAGCCCCCAGCGTGTCCCAGGAAGAGCCCTGGGGTATTGTCACAGATGGTTCTCCAGGAACAATAGGCCTGCAAGATGTTTGTCCACAAAGGCTCATAAAACCCTGAACAGCACCAAGAAGGACATGGGTGGAGAAGCCAAGGTTCAGCTGGAAAGCACAGCGTCTCTGCCCCCAGGATGCTCCCTCCAGTGCTGGGCCTGGGCCAGATGCAAGGAGCTGGTCCTTGAATCCCACAGATGGGACCACGGAGGCCCAGCAGCAGGAGGAGGTGCCTTATGTCTCCTGCAGAAGCGTCAGGAAGGAAGCTCAGTTGCCCACTGCGTGTCCCTGGGTCAGTCTGTTTCCCTACTGCGAGTGGAGACCCGAGCAGGTGTGACATCCTACCTCTGGCAAAAAGTGCACCTTTCCAGTGCTGTGTCTTCATTCCTCCCGCCCATATCAAGGATCTACTGAATGTCTCTAGTGTGTGGGTGCTGGGCAGGGCACAGAGCTGAGTCTGGAGGTGGGTTTTGGGGCCTGGAGCAGGGCAGGCTGAGGATGGGGGTGGGAAGCTCGGAGTGGGGGCGGGAGGAGAGGAGGAATCTGGAGGAGCCCCTGATGGAAAGGGCCACCAGCCTTTGTGACATGGCAGTGCTAGACAGAGCAGAGGGGATCACTGGGCAGGCGCTCGAATCACTGAACAGCAAATATAGTGTATCTCTTATAAAGCCCACCAGCAGGCTGGGAGGGACAGAAATACTTACAGTTCTCTGCCATTTCCTGACATTTTAAAGCCACCGAACGGAGCCTGCGCGTAGAGTGCATTGTAGCAGTTGATCCTAGAAAAAAAAAAAAAAGTGAAAATATGCTCACAATTACCTGGAGAAGACCCAGCTGAATCCTGGGGGCTCCAGGTGTTAGACACTGATGCTCAGTGTTGCCTGACATGTGGCCTTTTGATAAAAATTCAATACAGATCTGCGACCAGAACTGTGGAAGGAATTAAATTCCTGAACCGAGGTACTGCTGTAATTAAAATACAGGGCGCTCTTAGCTTCTGCTTCTCTTTCTTCATGCCGGAAGCTAAAATTTGAATATACTGGTCTAGAGCTTTTCATTGAGATAGGAAGGGGATGAGAAGGCAAGAGAAAAAGAAGAGAAAATATTATGTGTGGGGATAAAAGTTAGCCTTGAAGTGACCTCAGAGGTCACTGACCTCAGAGTTCTTCCGCTTCCTCCACCACATCCCCCTACACTTATTACTCAACTTCTCTGAGCCTCAAATTGTTCATCTTTAAATGACTACGACAACCTGCAATCTGCACAATGCCTGGTGAGGTGGGGACTCGTGTCCATACTTTGCAGAGGAGCGTACTCTGATTTTAGAATCAGAACCAGAAACAAAGCCAGAAGAGTCTTGCAGCCCAGCTGGTCAAAAGCTCATGCCCTGGAGCCTGCTCTGCCGTATACAGTCAGCCCTCTAAAACCAAGGCTCTGGGTCCTCAGGTTCAACCAACCTTGATAGAACACATTTGGAGAAATGATTGCATCTGCACTGAACATGTACAGAATTTTTCCTCCTTGTCATCATTCCCCAAACAATAGGGTGTAGCAACTATTTACATAGCTTCCATAATGTGTTAAGTATTATTAGTCATCTACAGATAGTTAAAGTAAAGTTATATGCATGTACTATGCCATTTTGCATAAGGGGCTTGAGGAACCATGGGATCTGCAGGGGTCCTGGAATCAATCCCGTGGATATTGGGGGGTAAGAATACTACTTGTACGGTTCTAGGCAAGTTACTCAGCCTCTCTGTGTCATGATTTCTACCCTTGTGAAGTGGGATGCTTAATACCATAAGGGCACCCGTTTCAGAAGGTCGTCATGAGGATCTAGCAAAGCGCTTGAATAGTGGGTGGCATATAATATTCAATTAAAAACTGTGTTAATAGAAGATTATTAAGCTGAAATAGTCAGAGCTGAAATAACACTCTACTCACCAGACTGTCCCTGACTCCAGCGCGGAAGCCAGCTTCAGGGCTTTGTCAAGGTTTTTTGTGAACACGGCTGCTGTGAGTCCGTACTCTGTGTTATTTGCTCTTTTTATCACTTCTTCGATGTTTTTGAACTTCAGTATTGGCTGCACTGGTCCAAAAATCTATGATTAATTGCAAGAACGGCAGTGAGAAGTATACCGGGTGGAAACGCAGGCTCCGAGCAGGTGTTTCTTTGGTTTTATATCTTCTATGTATAGCCAGAGGCCACATGTGCATGGCAACAATAATTGGGAAAGAAATTTCACCAAAGATTTTTTTCAGCTATATGATGGTTGAAATTTGAAGGGAAGGAGAAAAGTGGAACAAAAATTTAGAAAAATAACAACTAAAACATACACTGTGTTTCCCATCTCTTATTGTCATCAGTGTTTCTGAGAACTCCAACCTGAGACCTCAGGGTGACCCATCTCAGGATACAGAGAAGGTAAAACTTCTGGATGACTTTTTGGAATGTTATCTCTGAGGATGCTCACAAGTAGGGCTGTAGAACCATGTGCTCTGACCCCCTGTGTTTTGCACCCATGAGGATGCTCTTCCCCACCTTTCCTTTGCTATATGGAAGACTGCATGAATATTGTCTCCTTCCCACGCCTGAGAGTTACTATGGAAACTTTGTAGAGCATCCTCATTGGCGCCTCCCAGGACCTAACCACCCAGCACTGGGCTCTTGTCTTACAAACCCCCTGCAGGAGCCAGCTTCTATCTGCTTCAGCGTAGAATTGAAAGACAAAGGTAAATTTATACTGTGAGGAGGTCTCCTTAATTTCTCTCATTCTCCAGGATACCCATGATGGAAAACACGATGAGAATTCTAGCTGGGACACAATCCTGGAGTATTTCTCTTTTAAGGTCACTCTGGGGGGACTGAGGGCAGCCTTATGAACCCAGAGCTTGATTCCTGATGTACCCCACAGGGAGCAACAGCTCTCCACGCCCTGCTGTGTGATGAACTCTGAGGAGGGAATCTTGCCCCTGGAGACCAGGAGAAATGAATGGAAACCGGGCCTTGAATGAACTCTATGCAACCCTTGGGGTTGGCTAGAGGCTCGTGGCAAGATGGTGCTCCTAAGGACCCCAAAGGATAGGGGAGACGCTACACAGAAAAGGAAAGCCCACCCCACAAAGACTTCTGGGTTCCCTGATCCCTGCAGGAGAGCAGTTTGGAGGGTCCCTGGGCTGTAGCTTTGGCTACAGCCACACCTACCTCCTCCTTGGCAATCCGCATGTTATCAGTAACCTCTGAGAAGACAGTGGGTTTGATGAAAAGTCCCCTGTCTTCCATGGCTGAGCCTCCACATTCCAGCTTGGCCCCTTCCTTCTTCCCACTCTCAATCAGCTCGAGGATTTTGTCAAACTGTTTTTGATCGATCTGTAAAACAATGAAGGAATGATTGTCAACTTCCTGTGCCAGAAGCTGCCAGTTCACATTCTCAGCAGACTTTAGCACCATGTCACCCTGCCTTGTGCATTCCTGCCTAGTGCTAGATCATGGAATGAGTGTGTCTTGTGGGCAGATATTCCTCAGATGCATGGATCTGGGCACCTCTGAGCAGGAGAAGCATGGGAAGATAAGATATTCTCACTCTCTCCGGGACGGGGGTTCATCCTGTTTTTGTTCCCTTTTCCATGCTGAGAAGCCAGTCCAAGGTGCACCAAGAAGTGGTCACATCCTTTGCTCCCTCACTTCTTTGCATCCTGCTAGGGTTGTTTGACTTAGCAAATAAAACACAGGATTTCTACCTAAACTTGAATCTCAGAAAAATGCATGATTTTGAGCATGAGTACATCCCAAATACTGTTTGAGGTATGCTTTACGCTACAAATGCTATCACTCTCCATCTGAAATTCAAATCCAACTCAGGGTCATGTATTTTACTGGCACCCTGCACTCTAGTTCCATGGATTGGAAGAACAATAGCTGGAATTCTCCTTTCATAGTGCTGAAGGGAAGTGAGCAGGAAAAGTGATCACCTTTCCCAGCCCCCTTCAAAACAGTGCAGTGAACTTGCAGTGGGTGAGGGACTGTGCCTTGGTCAGTGGCAGATCAGCTCATCAGAAAGGCTCCACCTTTGCTACCTTGCCTCAGAGTCTCCCTGGCTGGACTGTGACAGCCTAATACCTAGCTAGGGGTGAGCTGTGAAAAGGGCGCCACTTTGGGAGACTGCTCAATGGGGACAGTTCTCTTTCTGCATGCCCCCCCAGCCTTCCTCCTAAAATCTGTGGGAGCCTTTATCATGGCCCTGTGGACAGTGCTCTTCCTCTTGGGCTGGGAGAGCCAGAGCTTTAATAAGATTTGCTGTCGCTGAGAATTTTACATAGGAGGGCTGGTTTCATTTCAACCATGTTAAAAAAAAAAATAGTGAGCAAATCCAGTTGGTGCATTTGGATGAGTGTCTCTGTCTGGCCCTGAGGAGGATGCTGGCTTTCTTGGAAGGGGAGGGGTACAAACCATGCAAGTCACTTGATAACCAACCTGTGATATATGGATCCAATTTTAACCAATCCATACCTCACACCATATGCCAGGACAAGTCTCAATAGATCAAAGATGTAACCATTACAAATGAAACCATAAAATTCCTTCATGTGGGAGACTGCTCTTGCAAACTTGTCTTCTCTATGACTCAAAGAACATAAGCCAATAAAGAAAAGACTAATAAATTTCAGTATGTTTTTTTAAAAAGATCTCGTGATATAGTTCAGTGGTAGAATGCTTGCTCCCATGGGTTCAGTCCCAAGAAGAAGGAAGGAAAGAAGGAAGGAGGTAGGCATGCAGGCAGAATCATCATGAGCAAAGTCATATGGCAAAACAAAAAACTGAAAAAATATTAATAAATCATACCATAGAAAACTAATCTGTGTAGTATGTATGGAAAGCATCTTAGAAGTGAAAAGAAAAGTGACCAAATATATAATAGGAAATTATGCAAAGTAAATATCCATTTGACTGGAAAAGAAACACAAATGTCTTTTAAACATAAGATAATGTATGCTGTCTTGCATACCTTGGAAGGCAGAATGTGTATTACAATTAAATGATACTATTTTAAATTCTCAGATGAACAAGAATTCATATTCTGTTACTAATGCTGAAGAAACAGACGACCTGTACAATGCTTTTAGGAACATGGTATCAGTTGATTCATCCTCTATAACAGGCATCCCCGTCCAATGGCCATTGTCCAGTACCATGCTACGGCCTATTAGAAACTGGGCCGTAGATGGGAGAGCCAAGCCTTATCTGTGTCTACAGCTGCTCTCATGACTTGAATCATTGCCTGAGCTCCACCTCCTGTGAGATGAGCAGCGACATTAGATTCTCATAGGAGCTGGAACCTCGCTGTGAACTCCGCTGGTGAAGGATCCAGGCTGTGTACTCCTTGAATCCTCACAAAATCACTCCTCCCCTGCATGAACATTTCTCTGCATGAACTGAATCCTGGATTAAAAGTTCCAGAGCCGGTAGAAAATGGTCCTCCATGAAACTCCCTGGTGTCGAAAAGGTGGGGACCACTGCTCCATGGACTGGAAGTTGGCAGTGCCTACAGAAACTACAGGTGCGTTCCCACTTAGGCCCCACTCTGAGTCCTTCTCATGGAGTTCTTTGGGTGTGTGTGTATGAGAAATCACCTACTCTGGGGCATCATGTGTGATTGCATATGCACACATGTTCTTCAGAAGATGTCCTTTAAACCCTGGTGACTTCTCACAGCAGAATTGTACATGCATGTGAAAAAGAACGAAACAGGTATCCACAGACAAGTATAGAAAGCTCTTTGAGTTCTTGTTAAGGAAAGCAAAGTGCAAAACGGTAGCGCTGTTATGGTATTTTTTGCATAAAAATAGGGGAGAAATCAGAATATATAACATATTTGCTTGTATATGCATAAAGAAATTCTAGAGGGATGCATCGGAAACTGAGACCATGGGGTACCCATGGTAGGGAAGGGCAAGGACCAACTCTCTATGGGGAGGGTAGGAAGGGTAGGAGCGGTCCTTTCACAGGAGTAGGACATAGATCCCTGTGAATGTACTCCGCTTGAGAATGACAACTGCAAATGTATCCAGTAATAGCTCAGGGTCCTCTCAACTTTTCTCTGCCTGAACTGAATCCTGGATTAAAAGTTCCAGAGCCTGCAGAGCCTCCTCCTTCCTCCCTGGGGGCAACAGGGTTCCCTCCAGGGCCTTCCCCCATCCACAGGTCGTGACTGGCTGCTGACCCTGTTCTGCCTGGAAGACCTCATCTGTGCATGGAAATCCTGCACATCCGAGCTCCTCTCCCTGGTGAGTCCTTAAGAACACATTGTTCAAATCTAACAATCATCCCTGGAACTATCAGCTGGTGCCTCACAGACAGGAAGAAGGACCTGCCAGGAAGTGAGATGACAGGAAAGGGCCCAGAACCAGAAACACAAAAATGTGGGCCCCAAATGGCCAGCGCATCACTGTGCTCGGCTCTCTCTACCAGGGAAGATGCCTCCAGATCCTGTCCTGGCCAGGTGGCCTGTGTCATGTGTTTGTGCCTGGTGGCTCAGCTGCCGAATAAACCTGAATGAATTTGGAGCCTTCCAGCAAGCAGCTCCCCAGCAGTGGACACGGATCTAGGTCAGCCCACTCGTTTACAGGCATGAGACAGACAGACTATTTAGACAGCTGTAAGTTCTCTCAGAGTAAAATCTTATTACCATAGATGAAAAAAGCACTCTGGGAGGGAAAAAAAAAAAAAGACCAACAGCATCCTAAAATAATATGCTGAGGTTAGTCAGCTTAAGTGAGCTTTCAAAAGGACTTTGAACCGAGGCATGAAAGTACGAATGAAATCAACACCCATTCTCCATGCAGCTGCTCTGGGGACAGCCTCATGTATCTGGTATTACAAGTCAAGACTGGAACCTTGGAAAGACGTACAAATAATGACAGGGTAGGAAGGGGTCCTTAGGAGGGGGATCAGATCCCATATGTCCCACTGATTCTGGATTAGCTGTAGAAATCATGGTGGATTCAATAATGACTTGTGGTCATGTTTACATTCAGACCTGAAATCCAACCAAGACCATTGATTACTCTATGTCACTGGCTGCCAAGTTTGGGACCACAAATGAAGCTTCTCCTCTCCCATGATCACAGAGCATCAGAGTTGCAAAGCATTGAGCTGGAGCTGGGGAGGGGAAACTGAGTCCAAAAGAGCACCCCGCATCTCCTCTTCCCCAGCCAGAGTGCCCCCAGAGATGACTAAGCAAAACTCTTGAACACGGTCTTAAGTCCCACAGACATTCATGCTACCTAGGTCAGACGGCTGTCATTTCATGTTCCCTCCCTTGAAAAATAACAAAAAACTTTCCTGTATTGAGTACTTCCTAAGTAATGCAAGTGTCGTAATATTCTCCCATTGCTCCCATTTTCCAGGTGAGGAAACAGGTGGACGGAGCATATGACTTCTACAAAGCCACAGAGCTATATCCGAGCTCAGATCCACAGCTTCCTGTGCAAACACGTGGTGCCAAAGCAGTAGGTAACCAGGGAGCTTCCCAAGTAGATGCCGGGGGTAAGTCATGGACATGTGTTTTGAAACTTCAGGGCTACAGCAGGACTTTGGCTAAAAGTAGTGGATTGCTGCCGAGCTCCATTTTCTTAATGCATGGGATGGTTGGGCTTGTTCTCTTTTAAATATTTATCCATCTGCTCACTTCATAATTAGCAAGAAAGTGATACAGGATGTGCCCTTTTAAAGAGGTTATTAAACCTCATGGCTATGGTCATTTTCAGCCGTCCTTGGCTGCCCAAGCCAGTCTCCAGAGACACATGAGATTGCTCAAAACCCATCCATCCCCACAGCTCTCCTTGCGGGATTCTTTTGGTTTTGAGGATCATCTTGTGCCATAACGCATGTGGGCTCGGGGCCCTCTAAGCCAGACTGCTGTCCGAAGCTGTCCAAGGATGGAAGGCAGTATTCTGAGATGGCCTCACGCCCTGGGGACAGCTCCTTCACCCAAGGGCCTGTGCCTCTGTGTGTACAGCCTCTTTTTATAACCCTGCTGAAATCTGATCAGCTTCTAAACAAAAGCCTGAAGTCCTTCCTTGGAGAGCGACCCTTGTGGCATTACTGACACCGACACCCGGATGGGTAGGTTACCTGGGGCCCCTGTTCAGTCTTGACGTCGAAGGGGTCTCCCACGGGACGCTGCTTGGCGTACTCCACGCTGCGCCTGACGAACTCGGCGTAGATTTGCTCCTCCACAAACACTCTGGAGGCAGCTGTGCAGCACTGGCCTTGGTTGAAGAACACTCCCCGATGGGCACACTCGACTGCCAAGTCCACTGGAGGGGCAGGGGTGCGGGCGAGGCAAGAGGAAGCAATTAAGTTGTTAGAGCAGGCTTGGCGACAGCTGCAATTCTAATTGCCCACATAAGAAAACAGGCCCCAGGATGGCTGCATTTCAGAAATTAATTTTGTTCTCAGCATTTCCCAAGGAGAGAGTACGGGAAAAAGGACTTCAGGTTCACCAACTTTGGGGTTAAGTAAGTCTTCTGACTGCAGGATTTCTCCGTACCTTTAATATGCTAATGAGCCCAGATGTGGGTACCACTCCCCATTTCATTTACCAATGGGACCCTCTTCTCCTCTTTTTTTGCAGGACAAACTAATGTTCTCTGGCAGGGGGAAAAGTACTACTTTGCTATGTACTGATGTAGGCAACTGGTGAGAATTTTTAAGGAAATCAAACTTTTCCACCTTGCGTGAAGGAGGATCTTAGGAAGTAAACTAACACCAACTATGACTCAGAAGGGTAAAAAGGCATTGTATCTGCCTGCAGGCTGACTGAATTCAGAGCTAATGCCTAATTAAAATCAGCTACTGGAACCTAGTGGGCTGTTTAGCCCAATCTTTGGGGAGACGCTGGGTGGGAGAGATGGCAGTGGGATGTCCTTTGCACAGCTGGCAGGGCTTCTAGTGCTCCATGCCTGGCTGGCTTCTCAGCGCACCCTACACTGTCACTTGCTCAAGAACAGCGGGAGCCATGGCTCTGAGCACAGGCAGGTGACCCATCCGAGCTCAGCAGGCAGCTCCGAGGGACTCTGCCCTGGCTTTGAGGAGGGCGCTGCTCCTTGGTAGGGCTGTGTGTGAAAACTGTAGTGGCAGCAGGACATCACTGTCACAAGATCCCTGGTCCTCCTCAAAGACAGCACATTCATTTCTTGCACCCTGCTGGAGTCAGGGTGGTGGATAAGGTGGCAGGAGAAAGGTGGCATGCTACCCATGGTACTATGTCAGGGTTTAATTGTGTGGATTGGCACTGCCTGGACGAGGACGAGGAGGAGGAAGAAGAGGAAAAGGCAGACAGTAGAGGAGATAGTTCCACAATGTGTTTTCATGAATCCTGTAAAGCCGGCCCCCAAATGGGGCGCACCCTGGGCTTTAGCTGTGGTTTTCCTCTTTGGGAGCACAAGAGGGTGAGCTGAGGTACAGGTGGGGTCCTCAATGCACAACTGGAGTCTTTAGGGTGGGAGCCCGAGGCTCCGAATACGGGTCACAGCAGAACAACACCCAGAGCAGCCTCACACGGCCCCGAAACCATCAGCAACACTAGTGACACTTTCAACAGAGAGAAGCGCCAGGCAGGAAGAGGGCAGCCTGTGTTCCCGCCCTTCCCTGGAGCTTGTTTCCTCTCCCGGTCTGTTCCCCTGCTGAAAACCAGCTTCAGGGAAAGGAAGTAATATCAGTCATTTACACCTAAGTGAGAAATCTTGCCAGGCTCATTGTTTTTTCTGGGATATTTGGGATTCTAGTCTTATCTGAGTGTGCACTGGAAGGCTTTGTTCTCTGTGACAGGTATTTCTGGCACCCTGGACAGGTGGAGGAGGCTTTTCTTTAAGGCAAAGGCACTTCAGGCTACTTGGGAAGTCACACCTTGTGACAGCTGACCTTGCCACAGGTGAACAAACGCCCAGCGTGGTCCTTTCTGCCTGCTCTGGACACGGCAGCCAAGAATAGCATATACTGTATATTGTGTCATGAAGTTTTAGTGAGACACGAGCTGCTCCCAAGCTACTGCGCAGGTGGCTTTCCCAGGCAAGAGGTGGTACAGGGGGAGACGGCACACAGACCACTGGTTTCTTTTTTCTTTTTTTAAGGGTCAACACCATTATCAAAGAAAGACAAAGAAAAAGACAACGAAAGAAGAAACAACTCTTTTTCAGTCTCCACTCTCACTCTTTTCCAGAGAACCTGAAGGCCCTGTAATAGCTGGAAATGTACGACACCAAATGCCCAGGAATGGGGAACACCTTCCCACCCGCTTCTCCTTGTCCTCTTGCCCCACACCCAAGAGGGGACGCTGGAGGAGAAACGGAACCTCACTGCTCCCTGTGGCCCCAGCTCCAGCTGGGCAGGGGCAGAAACACGAAGTCCCGCCAGCTGCCACCTAGGCCACGCCCCTTTCAGGTGCAGTTTTCTATCAGCCACAAAGCCGGTGCTCTGTTCTCCCCCTGCCCAGCATGGCCCTGGAGTGGCGGGCAGGCTGACCCAACACGGAAAACAGCCCCACTGTGTGTCTGTGCACGTATGTCTGTCTCTCCCAAATGGGTCTGAACTGGGTCCAGAAAGTGGGCAGAGATCTATGGGGGCTGGGCAGAGACTCACGGTCGGCATCGGCGCACACGATACAGGGGTTCTTGCCCCCCAGCTCCAGCGTCACCCTCTTCAGATTGCTCCGAGACGCGGCTTCTTTAACCAGCTTTCCAACCTTCAGGAGGAGAAACAGGCCCAACGAACGTGAACGTGGCCAAACCTGGCCCAAATGCATACACCAGGGAACGTTCTGGACGAGGCAGCACTGTGTGAGTGGGGCCACCTTCCTCTGCAGGGTGCCCCAGGCCTTGACACTAGCTAGATTCACTCCGTGGTCTTGGCAGCACCTGCTTGCAAACAAGACCGTGACTCCTGAAGTCCACATCTTAGCTGACCCACTTCTAGGCGTGAGTGAGCGCCCCTGGGGCCCAGAATTTCCCCATGGCATAGCAGTCTGCCCGCCTGCTGGTGCTCAGTCCCAGTGAGCCCTACTCGCAGTGCAGGGAAAAGAGCTCCAGGCACTGAGGGGCGGCTCTCCAGGCCTTGCTAGTAACAGCTAAGATCTGGGCAGCTCAGTGGGGAAGGGAGCTCCGTGTGGCTCTGGGGTAGTCCAAGGGAGTCTTCCAGAGTCGGAAGCAGCAAGGGCAGTGACTCTTAGGAAGAGAAGGTAACAGGCTGGAAGACTGCGTGGGGTACACTACAGATAACAGAGAAAATAGCAGCACTCAGCCTCCTATGAGCGGGTACCTTGGGGGCTTCTCCTGTCTTCGTACACCGCTGGAGAGCAGGGCTGGCCCCGTGCACTCTGCTCCCTTATCTTGGGCGACAAGTGAAGCCAGGTGCCTGTACTCTCAGCACTCTCAGAGGCTGAGGCAGTAGGATCACAAGTTCAAACCTAGCCTGGACAGACCCTGTCTCAAAATAAAAAATAAAAAGAAATCTGAGGCCACGCACACAAGGGAGCGTGGGCTGGGCGGCAGCTCAGTGGAAGAAAGCACTTGCCTACCATGTACAAGGTCCTAGGTTCCATCCTCAGCACCATCAAAAAGAAAAATAATTCTGTAAACTCAAGTCTGGTGGCCTCAGTGAGGTCTGGAATGGGTCCACAGTGGCAATGTGTGTTCCCAGGGAGAGCTTGAGAGCAAAACCAGCCTGACTGGGCTCATGATGTATGGGGAGTGTCGAGCTGCGTTCTTATAGCTAGAGACAGCAGGGTGACCCAGGCAGGAAAGTACCCCATAAGCACCCCATTATGGAGATGCATATGACTGAGCAGTCCCCAGGGGTCACAGAGGCCACTTTCTTGACCTTGGTTGCTAAGTGAGGGGCGCGCCACCCAGCTGGACCCATGGTCACCTAGAGAGAGCTCAGAATATCTGCAGAGAAGCTTAGCAGGGGTAGGGCAAACTTTGCTACTGGATCAGATGACAGAGAAAGATTGAGGGGCTACTGGGGGGTCAGGAGTCAGGGTCCTGTCCCCAAAGCCAGAGGTAGAGCACCTACTCCACTCAGTATACTGAGCGGCACTGATTTTAATGCTGTACCTATGACATGGTGAGTTTAAATTAGGGCCCAATCTGATCACAACCTGTAAGGGTGACAACCCTGGCTGCCAAAGAGGCAGCATCCTTTGTCAGGGCTGTGGGAAGGGGCTGTGGGCTCCTGGGCAGACCAAGGAGGAGGGATATGGAGACACTTACTGCATGGGAAAATTCATTTATTTTAAGTACAGAACTTTCTCATTAAAAATAATTCCATAGGTAGATGTGTGTAAATGCAAAGGGGAATCTGTTTCCTGTGACCCCAATACTCAGGACACACATAATAAGGAGCCATAGTAATTTCTTAGGAATCCTTCCAGAGAATTTCTATATGTATGCATGCATGCATGCACGCACGCATGTGCACTTTGCACACACACACATGGAGGCATGCACGCACATATACAAACCATGTTTACTACTGGGATCATATTGTACATAATTTCCTATGGTTTGCTTTTTTGTACCCCACAACAGATCATAGGAATCATTCACTGTCTACAGAATGACTGTAAAACATTTCACAGGTTAGGTATGACAGATTGAAACTATGTCCCGAATGTTTGTGGTAATATTTCTCCAAATACAGTAGCTGCTTTGAAAGGTGATTTCTGAATCAAAAGTTTTTCACCTTGAAACTTTTGATCGATACCACTAAACCTCACCTTCCACCTTAGGGACAGTGTCCGTGAGAGCCTATATCTTTAATAACACCATTTCAGTTTTTACCAAATTAAGAAATAAAAGGGGAGTCGGATTTTTATTTGAATGTGCATTTCTCCGATTGCTGGTGATTACTGTTTCTCTGATTACCAGCAACTAAGTTTACTGAGCATCACACATTCATATTCTGAGTTGCCTGCTTCTCTTCACCACATTTATCTTTTTTCATTGCTTTGTAGGAGTGCTTCACATAGGCAGGGCAGCACACCTGACCCTTTGTTTTCTCCCAGCTTATCAATTATCTCTTAGCCTTAATTATGACGTTTGTCATATGGATGCTTTACGTTTTTATCTTACATCTCAGTCTTCTTCTAAGGCTTCTGAGTTCTATTATATATTTACTTATATTTACTTACTCCGGTTTGGAAACCGGATCAATATATATTATATATTTACTTACTCCGGTTTGGAAACCGGATCAATGACTTTTAACCGATCTTACATATTAAAACATGGCCACACTTGAAGAAAAACAAGTCACATTTGAGCTTCTCAAAGGAGACATTTGGGGTCTGGAATAGGTGCCCGCTTTTGCCCCTGGCCTGGGGAGTTACCTCTGTGGACCCAGTGAAGGCTATCTTGTTGATCTGAGGGTGAGAAGAAATTGCTGCTCCCACTGTGGGCCCAAAGCCTGGTACGATGTTCACCACGCCTGGAGGGAAGCCAACCTGGGGAGAGTGGAGATGGCATCAGAGGAAGAGAAGGTGCAGCCCTGGCACAGAGAGGTGCATGCGCTAAGAGAGGCTGGGAGCACAGAGGCCCTGCAGGGAAACCCCGGGACTCAGGCACCCTGGGCTGCAGACACCCAGGAGCTGACCTAGGGTCCTTGGCCCTGCCACCGCCCAGGGTGCAAGCTGGGTCTGTGGCAACCCTCCCCCTTTCAGGGAGGGCTTCCCACCTTGCAGGGCTCTGAGCAAATGTGCAGTGAGGCCACAAGGTGGCAGTGGTCCTCGTGTAGCAAGGCACCTTTCAGTGCGCATGTGCTGTGTGAGTCCGTGTGTGTGAGCACATAGGGGTGTGTGTGTGCATGTATGCATATGTGTGTGAAAGCCTGTGTGTGCATATGTATGTATGCATGCATGAGTAACATATATGAGCGTGTGACTACACGATTGGTGTGTGCATGTGTATGAGCATGTGTATGTGAGACAGTGCATGAGTGTGCATACTGAGGGAAGGAGAAGTACCTGGGTCACACTTCTCAGGCTCCAAGGCAGCTGCAAAACACCCTTCTGGAGCTATAGCACTCATTTTTCAATCTGCCCCATTTATGTTCCAAATGGGGTAAGAAACCATCCCGTGTCCTTTACTTGCTAATCTTGGTTCACACCGAGGATGAACACACCTGGTTCTTTCACACTCACACCCATGTGTGTACACACAAGGCCTCCTCCTTCACCAAGGATGCCACAAACCAAGTGAGGTGGAAGATGTCTTCCTAAGGTGCCCTGCCTCTTACTGAAAACATGTTATTTTTAAAAGCCAAGATTTTAGCATCCTAGGCACTAATTTTTAACAGTTATGATGTCAGAACCCTCAAGCCTCAACACCTCAAGGACCATGTTCTATATCACTGGTCAAAGAGAAGTGAAAACTGGATGATTGTTGGCTGTCCGGCCTTGATCCGGGTGTTAACCCAGATGACGAGTGAAATGAACAGTTCTTTTCTCCTGTCCTTCTTTTCCTACTGTTTCTTTTTTCTAAATCTTTGCTATATACAAGCCAGTGATCAAACGAAGAAACTATGTCACCAGGTGTGTCTGGGAGGAGGTGTCCCTTTGGGCAGCTGTTTCCCTGAGTTGTGGCTACTTGGGGCAGGGGAAGGAATTGCCCACGGGCACTGATCAGAGGCTGGCACTGCCAAGGTTACCAGAGGAAAAAAGGAGCATTTCATACCTCACCAGTGCAGAGCCCAAGAACCTTCTGGACATTTGGCTCCCTCTTGGGTCACCCCCCTGCAGATCCTCTAGACAAAACATTGAGTCCTAAACCATAGGTTTGAGCCCATAATAAGAGTGACGCGTTCTCATTAGGACCACTGGGAGGAATGGCATTTCTTCCAGCTCAGTGACCACAAGCAGGAGGAAGACAAGCACAGCCGCCAAGCAAAACACAGGCGTCATTCCCTTCCCACTCCACAGGAGCCGGCTGCCACTGTCACGTCTTGTGATGCTGACCCGGTTCCCAGAGTGGGAATGTTATCAAGAGCACATATTTCCTTTTTGGAAGTCTCACCTCTTTGATCAGTGAGCCGAGATAAAGCGCAGTGAGGGGAGTCTGCTCCGCCGGCTTCAGAACCACGGTGTTCCCACAGCACAGGGCGGGTGCCAGCTTCCACACCAGCATCAGCAGGGGAAAGTTCCACTGGGACAGAGCACAAGGAAGAGCCTTGAGGGCCTGGACACACCCCTCCCCTGTCCCAGGTGCCCAGGGACGCCTCCGTGGAGGGCATGTGCTTCTCATCTAGATTTGGGGCTTAAGAGGTAACATGAGAGTGGACAGTGATCAGACAGCATCCCTGCTGTTCCCTTCCAAGTGGGCCAGCCATCCCCACACCTTTGAATTCCTACTGCTTGGGAAACCTTTCTTCCTGACAAACAAGTCTTTCCTATCCTTCAGGGTCCAGCCAAGAGACTGGCTCCCTGTGGGTCTTGTCCATTCCTGATCTCTCCAGCTGGAATCCACCGTGTGTGCGGGTGCCTCGCTAGAGCCAGTCAGTGCCGTAGAGCAGCACTGGGCATGAACCATCTTAGGAGCCTGAAAGCCCTGAGCTCCATGCTTCCAAACACTTCCTCCACCAACAATTTTCTGTTTCCTCAACCAGAAACTTGTTCCAAAGAGCGCAGGGCAGTGGGGTGCAACTGCTGTACTTACAGGGGTGATGGCTCCACATACCCCGATGGGTTCGTGCCTGGTGAAGCACACAACATTATCATCTGAAAGAGAGGGGACAGGGCAGGGGTGGACACACTCATTTAAAGAGGGTGAAGAATTTCAAGGATAGAAAGGCAAGAGAAAAAAAACCCAGAAACCCACACGGGTGCCAGCACTATGTCCAGTCTATTACACAAAGGAGTGATTTCAATTCAAGTTCACAGTGAGTTAAAAGGATTAAAGGCGTAGCTCAGTGGAAGAGTGCTTGCCTAGCATGGGTGAGGTTCTGGGCTTGAGTCTCAGTATACCCCCCACAAGGTGAATGAGTTCCTTAGAAGAAGACTCACAGTTCCACTGTGGGAGGGAGGGACCACTAAGGATGCATTCGAGGAGAAGGTCCAGCAAAGGGAGGTGACTGAGCCCCAAAGAGACCCCAAGGGAGGCAAGAGTGTGTCCTGCCTTGGCTCACCTGTGGGGATGGTCCTGCCCTGGATTTTGTCCGCCCAGCCCGCAAAATATCTGAAGGTCTTAATGCAGCCCTCCAGGTCAATGAAAAAGGCATGGAGGAAGGGCTTCCCAGTATCCATCGTCTCCAGGGTCTGCAATGACAAGATGGCAACCACTGCAGATGGGGCTTTCTTTTCTTTCAACTGTGAGGTTGTTAAAGAGGGTGGGAGGAACATCGTCCTAAGATACTGCTGTCTAGACCTCAGTCCTCTGTGTCACTTCAGAACGCACAACAGTGAGCTGAAACCCAACTGGACCAGATTGGCGAGGATCGCTTTCACTGCCAAACCCCTGAAGCTGGGGGCTGTGCTGCAGCCTTGTGCTGCAAGGCTCACTTGAAGCCTTGGTGGGAAGGAATCCCCGTGGGCTTTGGGGTCTTCTGTCCAGAGCACAGGGGCCTCAGCTTGTGACCTGGACACCTGGGCTTGTGCATTCCAGGGAGCTGGAGCGAAAGCAGCTTCTTTTACCAAAAGAAAGGGAGGGCATTGGTTCTTTTCTCTCTGCTGAGCTCGTCAGGGTGGCTGTGGGAAGAGTGACAGCCCAGAAGGGTCATGCCATCAGCACAAAGATGTGACGCTTTCCTACTGCGCTGTGCAGCCGGATGCGGAGTCGGGAGAGGAGCACGCTGGCCGGCCGGCCGTGGAGGGAGGCGGTTCTCCAAGTGAGCAGCAGGCGCTCAATGGCAGGGATTCTTTTCTATTTCCAGCCTGGGTGAAAGAGAACTCCTTTGTCCCTCAGACAAGCAGCTCCAGTGGACACCAGCACTGTAACCGCCAGTCATCAGGCTCTGCAGGAAGTGGCCACCCTGCCTCATAGCCCAGGGCTGGATTCCTGCTGAAGCATCAATGGAGTGGGATGGTGATGTAAAAAGGAAGGAAGGGCCCTCCTCTTAGACAGGGCTCTGACCCAGATGCATGCACATAGGTCCCATCCTGAGCCACACGTCCCAGTTCCTGCTATAACGTGTAGACACTCAGGCTAACAGACCCCAGTGATTCAGCCACGCCCACCAAGAGAGCCAGCCCTGAGTTCAGAGTGTCTGCGTTCACAGTGACCACTCTCTGGGGGGCTGCCCCAGGGTATGTGCATCTTGGAAGGCTTGCGATGCTTTGGCCTCCTCTGTCTGACCCCTGCTAAAGGGCTGAGCCAAGACCCCTCTTCACAGGAGGCAACCACGTCTCATAAACACTAGCTCAGTGGCCTGGGTACATTCCTGAATCCCCTGCCCTACCCTCCACCTCAGTTTCCAAATCTGTGAAATGAGAATAGCAATGAGACCTCCCTCCAAGGAAAGAAGAGAGAGTTAAGGGAGTCAACACGATGGCTGATAAAGATTATACTTTTCCTTTTAGGCACAGATCGGGGCTTGGCAGTCTTCACCTGGGGTCCCAAGGAGACAGGGCTGTGAGCTGCCAGGAATGACAGGACTGGCCTGGGTCCTGGGCTTGTATTCCCACCTGCAGCAGTTACCATTCAGGGAAAAGTCAGTTCAGGAAACAAGGTGACATCCAATAAACTGTGCTTTTAGCTTCTATTGATAGACATTCCAAGCTGGACTTTCATTTTCCCAGGAGAAGCCTAGCAATTACAAATGATACCAAAAGGTCTCTAGGACTTGTCTATTCTAGACAATGTCTGCCATGGACCAGGAGTTTATGTTGGCTCTTTTTTGGGGCAGGAGAAGGAAGAGGACTTGGATTTGGCACTGTGGGTAAATTCAGGGGATGAAGCCAATTATCTGCCTTTAGTTCTGCCTTTCTACTTTTGGTTGGTTGAACATGGACAAGCTACTTATCCTCTCTAGGCCTCAGTTTCCTCATTTCTGAGATGGGAAAATAAATACTACAGGTCAGATGCCTGCAAGCCAGGTACACCGTGAGCAGTCAACAAGCATTAGCTGATTTTTTTTTATCATCAGCTTGGCTGAGGTTTCTTATTGGAGTAGTAACATAATTATTTGAGGCTGTCTTTATGGAATCTATCCAAGCAAAACCTAGGTTACAATAGTTTTAGACAGAAAATGCTGTAAAAAAAAAAAAAAAAAAGTTCACAGGTGAAAGCGTACACAGGACTGAACCTGGGAAATCAAGCGTTTGCTAGTGATCGGAACAGTCGCCTCTTAAGCTTAGACTCATTGTCATGGTTCAACCACCAGTAAAGCAGAGCCGCTCCTAAGATTATTTCCTTTAAGATTTAAGAGAAAAATGTGCCTTTGGAAAAATTAATCCACGGCAACTCTCAGATGCTGAGGAAGGACAGAAAAGTGCTGGGCACCCTGCCCCCGTGCTGTCCACACGCCCAGGCTTAAAGCCAGGGAGCCCAGAAATGGCACTCAGGTTGAAAAAGAGAATCTGCAGGGAGCTCCCAAAACGAGCACCCAGCGAGCCAGAGCCTGGGGGCAGGGTGGCTCTGCAAGGGAAAAAATGTCGGGGCCACCGGATCCCGCCACACGCGCATGCAGACAGAACAACTGAGCTCCATCAGTCCACCCAGCAGGCAAGAGTGTGGCAGAGCAAAGCACTTTGCTGCTTGCAAAGGCAGGAAACCATATCGAGGTGGAGCATGAGGGGCACCTTCCTAGGATGCGGTCAGAGTGTAAAACCACATTTGCCAGTCATTCTCTCGTCCCCTTCACGTTGTGGCAAAGAACTGGCTTTTATTTCTTGTGGGCTACCTGGTCCCAATAGCAGAAGTGATTTGCTGGGTGGCGTTCAGAGTTCCCGCAACGCCCCTGTGTCTGCTATCAAAACACAGTCAGGCTGGGACAGTGGGGCAGGCTGAAGGGAAGGTGGCCTTGTAGCCGCTGCACCCAGGACGACACTGACACTTGAGGGCAGGGTGGGGAGGGGTGCCCAGGGCACATCCTCTGAGCCGGCTATTAGGCCACACGGACATTGCAGACTGATGAGCTCATGCTGGGGAAAACAGAAATGTTTTTGAAAAAGCCAGTTTGGCAGCTTGGGAGTTGAGACTGGCTTTCGGGTGCGGGAAGAAACCAGTGGCTCTGTGTGGAGAGGAGCACTACCCTGGCAAGGAAACGCCTTCATCGGGATTCGGGTGAATATGCCCACCTGAACCAAGGAAGGGAGGGAGGGAAGCAGAGAGGGAGGAATGGAGTGCGGAGGGAAGGCAAGAACAGAGGAAAGAAGGCGGGGAGGAAGGAGGGATGGGAGTGTGTTTTCTGCACAGATGCATCCTCCGGGAAGCACAACCAGGACTTCTTCTGCCCCCCAGAAACACAATGTGGGACAAAAGCAATGCCGGAGTTCTGGCCAACACTGCCCTTTAAACGGGCGGCCATTCCACTTCTGGTTCCCAACATCCGAGAAACCAGTTTTCCAAATCAAAGGCCAAAAAGGAGATTTCCTCTCCTGCAAACTTGTTCTCAGGCTTTGGAACAAGTTTTAAAAACAGAAGTCCTAGCTGTTCAAGGACTGGATGAGTTGGTTGCAAGAGATCACAAGGCCCTCAGTAGACCTAAGATGCCCTTTGGTCACCTGCCTCAGGTCCAAAAGACGGGCTGAAGTTGGTGTCAAATAACATGCTTTCTCCTTACTCAGGCCTCCTCAGCCCGTCTCACGGGAGCAATCTAGTGTCAGGGGCTGGACTGCATCGACATCCCCACTGCACAGCTAAGGAATTAAGAGACCTAGAAATTATTGCCCAGTGAGCCACGTAGCGGGGGTTGGAGCCCCGGCTTCACAGAGCCTTACTGTGACGACCACTAGTATTGACCATAGCTCTCATCTAGCTATAGTTTACTATTAGATGCCATGGACCCTGCTGAAGGTGCTAAGTGGATTGTTCTCACACATTTAGATGTCATTATCAGTGACAGTTCACAGAAGAAATAAGCCCCAGGAGCTGTAGATAATACTCAAAGTCATACATTTTATGTTCTTTCCTATACTTATGTACTCGGGATAAGATTTAACTTATAAATCAGGAACAGTCAGAGATCAACAACAGCAATAATAATAAGATAGAACAATAACAGTTCACTATAATAAAATTTAGGAATTGCTTCTGGAATTTTTCAATGAACATCTTTGAGCCATGGTTAACTGTGGGTAACTAAAACCATGGAAAGGAAAACCTCAGTGAAAGGCGGATGACCGCACTTAGGATGAGGTTAAATTTAAGTTGAAAAGAAAATGTGAATAAAAAAGATGAAGTATCCAAAACCCAGCTGGGAGCAGGAGAGGGCCCATCCTGAACGGGACTGTCTGTGACTGTCCCAAGTCTGCCAACTTCCGGTGCAACTCGATTTCCTCAGGCAGCCTCTCAGTCAAGAACTGAATGGCTGGGGGCAAAAGTCTGACTTGAAAACAAGGACGAAATCTGGCAACACGGATGCCCATTGCACACCTCAGAGGACAAGCAGACCCACAGCGACCCAAGGCCAGCACTCTCCAGGTTGTCTCCCATACTGCATGAGGACAGTCCGGGGAGGCCCTCTCTTCCCCTTCCTGTCCCCAGGAGCCTGTACTCACGGCCAGGATGGCACGGTCCCTCTCCATGAGGTCGGCCAGCTGGTGCAGTAGCCGGCCACGGCTCAGGGCATCCAGCCGGCGCCACGGGGAGCCCCTCTGGAAGGCAGCTTGAGCGGCCTCCACAGCCTTGTCCACGTCGGGCTGAGTGGCCAAAATGACAGAGAGAGAGAGAGAGTGACACCTTTGAATGCAACTAAGTTGGGGACTGTTTTGCTACAGAGGACAGCAGCATTGTGCTTCTGTCTTGAGGCAGAGCAGAGGAAGGCGCAGGAGGCAGATTAGCTGCAGGGAGCAGTGAGTTTTTAAATAACCAAATGGCTGGGAGCTTTCGAGTGATTTTTTTCTTTATGTCTAAGTTTTTTCAAGATTTCCATAATGGCCAAGAGTCAACCTCCTAATTATAAGAGCACTTGAAAATGTAAAGTCACTCATCTTGCATATTTTTCTTGGTAACTCAAGGAATGAGATTTCCCTCATGCTGGCTAGTTTGTCTGACCCCACAGACAAAGGGGAAATGTCTGTCTTGGTTGCATTCCAGACAAGAACGGTGGTCTGGGGTGAGAGTAGGAGATTCGGGCTTCTGCAGACTGAAGACCTGAGCACATTGGAAAAATCTGCAGGCTGGGAAGGGCAGCGGCGGCCAGGAGGCCTTTGTTCTGCCTTCAGCCTTACGTACCCTGTGGGGGCGGAACTGCTGCACTGTTTTACAGACCAGGATAGAATAATCACAACAGAACCTTTTTTGTTTTTTATTTTTTGCAGTCCTAGGGATGGGGTGAGAACTTTGCTGGAGCTGCACCCCATCCCTGAGCTTTCTTCTTAAAGTGAGATTTAGTAAGGGGGGGGCGTCACTGCTCCCTACTTTCACAAAAATAAGCTGCCGGGTCGGTTTGCTGTCAGGCCATTGCTCATCCCAAAGGCTGCCTCGCTCCCTAGCTAGGGTGGTGCGGCAGGCCGTGGATGCCGGAGACAGGCAGCGACTCCACCAAAACTGTCTCCAAGCTTGCTGGGTGAGGGGCCCAGAAGCTTTGGCCAGGGAGATGCACGAACACTGGATTCCTTGTTCGGGGCTCTGGGGAGAAGGCCAGGACTTCTCTGGCGCCGGGGGACAGGATAGCTTCTACCTCCAGGTGCTTAGAGCAGCTACCCAAACAAGTGAAAAACCAGAGCCCAGAGCAAGGTCTTGGTTTCCTCTCTAACACCTGTATGGGGACCTTGGAGACCATTCAGTGGGAATCCCTCCCACTCAGCATTATGCCCTCCCTAGCGGGAGCTCACAGCTTCCTGTGTGCGCCCCTCTGCTACTTCCTTGGTCAGCAGAGCTGAGCATGAGGGTCCACGTGGAGGGGACCTATGAAAGGTGTGACGCTGGGTACCTCACACAGATCACAGAACTGTCATGGCGGTGGGGACACTTTACCCACACATATTGCACCCCACACATTTCAACATCATTGACGGAACAGATGAGGAATATCCGCCCAGCACCTGTAGCCTCGGCAGCCTCAGCTACTCAGGAGGCTGGAGGATTGCTCGAGCCCAAAAGTTCCAGGCCTGCCTCGGAAGCATAAAGAGACCCCTGTCTCAGGAAAATCAATCTGTCCAGCACTCAAACAGTGACGAATTATTCACGTTTCTTTCTATAGAAGAACTTAACCTCTAACCTTTTCTTCAGTGGCCCTTCCATTCAAAATACACTTTATGGCTTTGAAATGTACCAAAGATATATGCAGAAGTCCCTTAACTTCTTTAAATGATACAGACCCTGCATGAGTCCATAGGGCTGTGCAGACTATAGCTTTCTGTGATCACGTAAGTGGCTGATAGAAATCTTCCTGATATGGGATGTTATTGCTGCCCCGCATACCACTTGGGAAGCACGTTCTTTTTTCCTTCAAGTGTTTCTTTTAAAATGTCTCTTGCCAGAAAGCTGCATTTAGTGAAACACACCAGCCGGAAATGCTTTCTGGAAAGATCCTTTAATGCCTCCAGGTTCAAATCATTGATAAAAACCTTTCCTTTAGCTATGTGACGCAGACAGCTGAGGTCATCCTCTGAGATGGGGAAACATCTATCAAAGGCGGTGACTCTTTGCAGAAGACCATCTGTAATTGATCCCATGCTAGGCTCTGTGTCTGAGCTGCACATGGCAATGACGGACTGGAGCAGTTACCCAGGACCTATCCGAGGGTGGGCCCGATCTAACTCCTAGCTAAGCCGCACTGCTTCCTTATCCTTCATTTATCTACAATTGAATTACTCGGACAGGGAGGGGGAGGACCCACCTTATCTCCTTCTTCCACTTCACATATTTTCTCCAGAGTTGAAGGGTTGTATGTGGCGAACTTTTTTCCACTCTTGGATTCATGCCAGTCATTGTTGATAAATATCTAACCGGGAAAGGAAGTGTAACAAATTAGGTTTAAATCAAAATCATATCATTTCAACATGCTAAGGACCTTAGGTAACGTCTTGTCCGCCAGCTTCCCCACCGTTCCCTGCTCCCTCAGGATGTTTTACAGATGAGACTGGAGGGAGACGGCACACTCAGAGTCACCTGACCAAGCGACTGGCTGGGAGCAGATCAGAATGAGCACCCAGGTTGTCATAATAAATCCAAAGTCATTTAAAACTTTTTTTCTAAATAACGATAATTACTATTATTAGCAACATATGATCATTGTATCATTTTCTACTTAATAAAAGCCAGTGTTGGAATACAAAGCTGAATATCTGGGGTAGAAAAGTTTTCAAATTATACTGAGTGATAAAATGATAAAGCAAATCACCACTGAGAACCCAAGAAATAACCCACAAAAATCGCTTCCCTGGGAGCCTCCATTTTCCAGACTTGCAGCTGTGAATAAGAATGTTTAAAAATAGCAGACATCCTAAACAAACCCAAGACAATTTACAAAGTTCATGTGCTGAAAGGTGTGCACTATTACCTTTCAGTCTGCCCTAAGTTCCAATTGCCTACAAAGGGTGGCATTAAAGGAGAGGAATTTGGGGAAGGAAAGAGGAACAGAAGTGATAGATACTACAGGAAGCATGTCCTGGCAGCACGGAAGTCCTGGCTGCCCAGGGAGAGGACAGAATGCTGCTGCTGCTGCCTCTTTGGAGGCCTCACATCTCAGCCCCTCATGCTGAGGGAGAATACCATGGGAGGAGTGGCACAAAGTATTCCACCCAGGAAAACACCAGTCATCATTTCTAAGGACAGAGCTACCTCTCCCAATTCCACTTCTGTATCTAGATACATATCACACACATAGCTTTACTTCTTCTTTTTGAATTGTTTGAAAGACGAATTGTGTGACTGCAGGGTTAAGTTCAATGACTATGAAATCAATTCATCCAGAACACTCCTGGAGGAAGACAGGCAGACCAGAGACGAGAACCGTCGCTTGAGTCTGCAGCTTGGTTATGAGCTTTCTGTTGGATCCTCTTGTGACAGCTCCGTGGAACACTGGGACAGAAGCTGAGGCTGCCCCTCACGGGGACCACGCACGGGGGACAGGCTCTGGCTGGGCAGGTGGCTCCAGTGCGTCGGGCCTGTCCGACTTCTGGAAGCTCAGCACCTTCCATGTGAGGCCAGGCCCCCAGGGAAGTATACTAGGAAAAGGCCAGGCTACAATTACAGGTTTATTCTTCCAGCTGAAACCAAATCCAAGAGTTCACTTTTGCCATGCAGCAAGTATTTACTCAGTAACAGCAAGAAATTAATAAGTGGAGAAGAGGAGTTAAGTTAGTGTGGAGAAGAAAGGGCAGCCAGGAAGAGAGGCCCATTTGTAGGAAGATGAAATTTCGTGGGTTAGATAATAGAGACTGTCAGGGAAAATTGCTGATTCTAAGTCCTTCCTGGTATCAATTCCAAAGGGGAGGGAAAATGAGAAGGTGGCAAAACGGAATATAAATGGGGGGGTGGAAACAGACTGCAATGATCGGATGTCTGCTATACTTCATCTCCAAGCACACGCCTCCAAAAAAAAAAAAAAAAAAAAAGAAAGAAAGAAATTACTCAGATGTTCATGACATTGTTCTATAGTACTTACTAGCTTGTAACTTAGAAAGTATTCAAAATGCTTGACTGTAACCATATTTCTCCAACACAATGTTTCTAATTTAGCAGTTATTTTCTTTAAACTACTAGTAA